CATGTCCCTTCTACTACCCTTTTTGAAAATTGGGACCACTGATGCCACCCTCCAGTTCTCTGGAACTTCACCCGTTCTCCACGAGGTCTCAAAAATGGAGGCCAGCAGGTGTGAGAGAACCCCTGCCAACTCTCTAAGTACTCTCAGGTGTAACCCATCAGGGCCTGGCACCTTTGTAATGTCCAATGCCCTGAGGAACCCCTTGACTTCAAGGGGGGTGACTCTAATCTGTGCCCCTAAGTCCCTAGCCTCATCTAATCTCCTATGCAGATATCCCCCATTCTGCTTTGGGGAGAACACAGAGGCAAAATAGTCATTTAGCATCTGTGCCTGTTCCCTCATATCAGTCACTGGATCTCCTTCCTCCTTATTTAGTGGGCCCACCACTTGTCTCCCCTTCCTCTTCCTAGTTACATGCTGAAAGAAGCACTTTTTGTTGCTCTTGATATTCTTGGCAAGTCTCAGCTCGTAATCAGCCTTAGCCTTGTGAAGAATCCTTCTGCAACAGGCCTCCTCCTCCCAGTATACCCTTTTGTGTATTTGCCCCAGTACCCATTTCCTACGGAGGTTCCTCTTTCATCTAATCCCTCTAACCACCTCATTTCACATCCATGGCAGCACTCTCCTCCGCCTCCCCACCTTACTGACTAGAGGTATCGTCAAGGCTTGCGCCTCCTTTTGAGAGCTATCCACCCCTCCTCAACTCACTTACCTTCCAGTAACCTATCCCAGGAGACTTTCCCCAGTCTGGCCTTCAGTTGACCAAAGTTGGCCCTCTTGAAGTCCTACCTTCTAGTGCTTGACCTGCTACATGTCCCCAGTCCCCTGATCTCAAAGCAAAGGATGGAGTGATCAATCGCATCCAGAGCTCCCCTAATCTGTACTTCATCTATCAGCTCCTCCCTATTGGTCAAGATCAAGTCAAGGATGTTTCCCCCCCTCGTCGCCTCTCGGACCCTCTGTGTGAAAAACCCTCCCTCTATAGCTTCTAGGAAGCGACATGACCTGGCTGTCACTGCCGAGTGAGTCTCCCAACTAATATCCGGGAGATTGAAATCTCCCATAATTACTGTGTCTCTCCCCCAAGATATCCTTAGAATCTGGCCTGTCAGGACATCATCCAGGGTCTCAAGTTGACCTGGAGGGTGACAACATACTCCCACTGTCAGGTCTCTTTCCCTGTCAAAACCCTAAGTTTCACCCAGACTGCCTCTAACGAATCCCCATCTGTGCTGCATTCTGTCTTACTGCATCCTATCCCTTCCCTGATGTATAAAGCCACGCCCCCAACTCTCTTTCCCTTCCTGTCCTTTCTAAAAAGGTGATACCCTTCTATGTTCACATTCCAGACTTGCCTTTCATCCCACCAAGTTTCTGTGATTCCCACCAGGTCATACCCTCCTATTCCCAGGAGAGCTTCAAGCTCTTCCTGCTTATTACCCATGCTCCTAGCATTGGTGTACATGCACCTCAACTCCTTCCCATCGCTTCCTTTCCTTGGAGTTCCCAGCCTCCTCCTTCCTCCCATCCTCCCTGATACATGGCCCCTCTCTGTAGGAGTCCTGTCAGTCCCTGCAGTACCTCTAAAACCCTGCTCCCAGAGCCCTGATTCTCTCCCCACACTTGTCCAGTGCAGACACGTTACTGGGGGGCCTGAACCTTCTGGACAAAGCTTAAAGTCTTCTGGACGAAGCTTGCTAGAGCATCTCCAAAGGACCTTTTCCCCATCCTCGTGAGGTGCAATCCGTCCCTTGCCAGAAGTCCATTGGCAAGAAATCGAGTGCCATGGTCGAGGAACCCGAAGTGTTCCTTCTGGCACCACACCCTAAGCCAGTCGTTCACCCCAGAGACCCTCCTGTCCCTTCCTGGCCCAAATCCCCAGACCGGTAAGATTGATGAGAAGGCCACTTGGGCCTTTAGCTCCCTGAGTTTCTTCCCCAAGGCCTCAAAGTCCCTGGTGATCCCAACCACACCCTGCCTGGCCACGTCGTTTGTGCCCACACGGATCACCAAGAGCAACTGATGACCCCCAGAGCGAACAAGTAGCAGGACACCAGTTTATGCCATCCCACTCAGATGGCTGTCCAGTTTCTTTTTGAATGTCTCTTGTATGGGAGAGCCCAACACCTCTCTAGGCAACTGGTTCTACTGACATATTGCTCTGACAGTGAGGAAGCTTTTCCTGATATCTAGCCTGAGTCTGGGTTGTTGCAGCTTGAATGGATTATTCCCTATCCTACACTCTGGTATTAGCAAGA